CAGTTTATTTCCACTCCTCCTTCCTCCCCTCCGTCCCCATCCTTCTCCAGGGACCCCTCTCATGAAGAACTTCTGGTCCAAGAGGTTCTATCTCTCCTTTGGGTGGGAGTTGTGGAAGAGGTTCCATAGAATTTAAGGGGGAAAGGGCTCTACTCCCACTATTTCCAATCCCAAAAGCTAAGGGAAGTCCCTCACTGATTCTAGACCTGCACAAACTTAACAGAAAATAAAGTTCCACATGGTCACCCTGGCATCCATTATCCCTTCCCTGGATCCCGAGGACTGGTACACTACCCTCAATTTAAGACACATTTTTTCATATATAGATGTACCAAGATCACATACGTTTCCTCAGATCTGTAGTGAACCACTCGCATTACCAATTCATGGTCCTCCCGTTCAGCCTATCTGCAGCTCCATGGGTGTTTACAAAATGTATGCCGGTAGTGTCAGTCTTTCTGAGGATGTTAGGGATGCAGGTCTACCCTTATCTGGATGACTGACTAATCAAGGGCCGGTCCTGGGCTCAGGTAGCATCCAGCATTCAACTCATCCAGTCACCGTTCAAGTCCCTAGGCCTTCTTATAAAGGGGGAGAAATCTACCCTCACTCTGGTGCAGAGGATAGAGTTTATTGGCGTGGTGTTCGACTCTACTCAGGTCAGGACCTACCTCCCAGAGGGAAGTTTCCAGTCAATCACATTCCTGGTAACACACCTCAAAGGTCATCCCATCACAACAGCCCAAAATTGCATGAGGCTTTTAGGGCACATGGCTTCATGCACTTATGTGGTACAACGTGCCAGGTTACACCTCAGGCCCCTCCAGATGTGGTTGGCCTCAGTGTACTCCCCAAACCGCCACCATCTGGACACTACACTCACAGTATCTCCATAGGGTCTTTGTCTCCCTCAATTGGTGGTTGGATCCTCTCACTGTTTGTGCAGGCGTTCCTTTTATATGCCCTCACTTGACAATGGCTCTAGTCGCAGGCGCAAAATGAGCTGGCAGCTTGCCTCAGCAGGACTTTTTCCAGTTACCACGAGTGGTCCCTTTGTCCAGCTGTGGTGAGGGGCATTTTCAAGAAATGGCGGATTCCCCAGACAGACCAATTTGCAATCCAGTAGAAAGTGTCATCAATTCTGCTCCCTACATGGCCACAGTCTGGGGGCTATCATGGATGTCTTTCTGCTACCATGGACAAAACACCTTTACTACGCTTTCCCTCCCATCCCGCTCTTGAATGGAGTACTGTTAAAAATCAAGCGGGACCAAGACTGGGTCATTCTGATAGCCCTAGCATGGCCCTGTCACACTGGTTCGCCACTCTGCAATGCTTCTCAGTAGTGACCCCAATCTCACTTCCATTACACCCAGACCTGATCTCTAAGGATCACGGTTCACTGCTCCATATAAACCTGAGCTCCCCTCCCTAACAGCCTGGAAGCTTCATGACTAAATCCCAGAGAGCAGGCTTGCTCGGAGTAGGTTTGTCAGGTCCTACTAGGTAATAGGAAGCCTCCACCAGGGCTACTTACCTTTCAAAACGGAAATGGTTTTCTGTCTGGGCATCCCAACACAGGGTCTCGACCACACGGTCATCCTTACAAGAAATTCTCAAATATCTATTGCACCTGAAGCTGCAAGGCTTAGCTATCTCCTCTATCAAGGTTCACCTTGCAGCAAGATCAGCCTTCCATTCCTGGTTGGATAACCAGTCCTTGTTTCCACATAACATGTCTGTTCGATTCCTGAAGGGCCTAGAAAGGCTTTGCCCTCAAGTAAGAGAGCCAGTTCCTCCCTGGCACCGGAACTTGGTCTTATTAAAGCTCATGGGCCCTCCATTTAAACCATTGGCAATGTGCTTCTTATTGTATCTGTCCTGAAAAGTAGTTTTCTTAGGCCATATGTACACTACACAGTTTTGTCGGCAAAAGGCAGCTTTTCTCAACAAAACAGTGGAGGTGTACACACTATGATGCCCCTCCCATCGACAAAACTCTCCTGCTTTGCTGACTTGATGAGAGGCGTAGAGCTTTTTACGGCAAAGTTAGATTGACACAGCATCAGTGTAAACGCTGCATCTGTTACGTCAGCGTAACTGGCCTGCAGGAGGTATCCCACAATGCCCACCATGACCGCTCTGCTCACTGTTTTGAACTCTGCTGCTTTGCATCCAGCTACACAGGCATGCGCCCCTCTCCTCTCAAAGCTCCCCTTTCAAATTTTGAAACTGCTCAGCGTGGAGAACTCACATAGCTACTAACCAGCTGAGCATGCTGGCTCTTGGCAGCAAACAAACTCCTGCCTGGACTACAGGGGAGGGGTTGGGTTTCTTGGTCTGTGGGGAAAAGAGGCTGTGGGAGAACTTGAGGGAATCACGGAATCAAAACATTAATGCAGAATCCCGTTCTCCTCAGCACTAGGACCGCAGCGGCAGGCAGGCAGGACGAAGTGCTCCTGGGGCAGAGAGAGACTGCTTTGCTGTGCAGAGCCAGAGTGAGGCAGGGGCTGATGTTGGGTGTCCCCTTCTACTGCTGGTGTACCAGTCTCCACTGAGCTGGGGTGGGGGAATGGGGACACTAACTGGCTGTACACCAGCTTCTGCCTCAGGATTGGTTGCTTCCAGCTGCTGTCTGAACTTAAAGAGACAGTGTGCCAACACATTCACTCGCCCCCAACACACACAGTTCCCCAACATGCTGTCTCTCTCTCTCACACATACACACTCCCCCCAACACACACATACACTCCCTGTCACGCACTCTGCACCCTACCCCCATACACACGTACACAGTTTTGTGGGCTTCTTGTGTTAGTGTTCAGCCATGTCAGTTTGGTCATATTACCGAGTGCTACTTTTAAAAGTGATTTCAAATTTGTTACTTTTTGGGCACACACAGCAATCATTACAAGGTTCATAGCACAATGCAAGCAAACAATGCCAGGCTCAGCACACTACAGCAACACACATTATTGTGGCTCATTGTTAATATGCTCCATCAAGGCATTCCCCAGCCGAATAGCCCCCCAATGGGCTCCTTTTATAGCCTTGTGTTCATAATGCACAGCACAATACTGAACAGCAGTGCAGGAACCATATTTTCTGACCGAGATGGCTGGTTTGCAGGTTACCAGGGCACTTGAAAAGCAGCTGGCAATCTAGTAGGATGCCCATGGAATGATGGAATTGAGAAACCCTCATCATGTGACGCTGTACCTGCCCCATGAGCCATTGCAAACCCTTCCCAAAGCACCCTGCGGCCAGCTGCACAGTAGGATAGCTACCCACAGTGCACTGCTCTCTGTCGATGCAAGAGCTGCTATTGTGGATGCGCTCCACCAACACAAGGAGCATAGTGTGGACATCCAACAGCCGTTTAATTATAGTGGTGGCTGTATGTCAGCATAACTTGCGTTGACAAAACTTTGTAGTGTAGCCAAGGCCTATGTGGCCATCAATTTGGCCAGAAGGGTCTCGGAGCTCCGTGACCTCACATCTAGAGCCTCTGTACACCCCTTTAAAAATAAGGTGCAGTTACATCCTCACCACAGTTTCCTCTCAAAAGTGGTTTCGCAATTTCATAGCAATCAAGCAATCTACCTTCCTGTCTTTTACCCGAAGCCACATGCAAATAGGAAGAAACAGTGCCTTCACTCACTGGACATTAGATGAGCCCTAGTTTTCTACATAGAAAGGACTAAACCATTCCAAAAGTCCATCCAACTTGTTCATAGTGGTAGCAGGCAGGATGAAGAGTCTCCCAATCTTCACAGACAATTTTGTCCTGGATCACTTCATGCATTTGTACTTGTTACAGTCAAGTGGGTGTTCTGCCTTCGGCTATCCTGACTGCTCATTCCACAAACTTGCAAGATTCTTCAGCAACATAGCTAGTGCAGATTCAGAATATTTGTAAAGCAGCAACCTGGTCATCAGTGAACACATTCTCCTCCCACTATGCCATCACTCAGCAGTCCAGAGATGATTGGAAATTTAGTTAGCTGTCCTGCAATCAGTGTGACCATGAACTCCAATCCCTCCACCTAATCAACTGTTGGGAGTTACTTAGAGTGGAATGCATATGTGCAATCACTTGAAGAAGAAAAAATGGTAACTTACCTTCCATAACTGTTTTTCTTCACGATATGTTGCATCATAACCCACCCTCCTGCCCTCGACATTGGAGTTTCTGGAAAGGAGGTGTGGAGTCGGCTGGGAACTTTATACCGGTGCTATGAGCGCGGCGCACCAGAGAGCACTCAAGCTGCCCCAATTGGTACCACTGCGGGAAAATTTTTCAGCAGCTGTGCTCAGGGCACACACACACACACTTACAGTGGAATGGACATGTGCAACACATCTCAAAGAACAACAGTTATGGAAGTTAGTAACCATTTTTTAAAATATTTTTGACCAAATGCTAGGCAGCATGGACAGCTTAATATAAGAGATACTAATTGCTACTCAGTGCCTTCTATTATAATTTCCAAAAGAAATAGGTTTTTATACCCTTGAGACTGTTTTTATAGACATAGAGTTGACTTGACACATATTTTATTTGCATACCTTGGAGATCACTTGCCACTCGCCAGACAATTACAAATGAGATTTGAGATCACAGAAACGATTAATTTACAAAGCAGTGTGGGTAGTCAGGGAGGATGTATGAGTTTCTAGCATTGAACATTGACCAGTTGGCAAACAAAAGATAGGGCTGAGCTGTCCATAGATGGATCGTGAGGGACAGGGTTAGCAAATATGGATTCTGGAGAGAAAGAACATGGACTGAGGAAGCTGTGTGTTTCAGAAGATGATAGAATGGGTCTGATTTAGGGAGACTAGAGTCAATTTTTTATTAATAGCTAGTGGCAAGGTCAAAAGATGAGGAGAAACATAAAATAGTATAAGATATTTATGTTGAGAGTTCCTAGAGATTAAATGAGATTATAAATGGGTAGGTCAGCAGCTGCTATAATTTATCCATTCTTTATTTTCAGCAAGAAACATTATCCTCCTGTCCTGGACCCTACCGGATCACATTCAACCCTGGACTAAACAGATGTAATTCCTATTAAAGTAAATAGTAACTGCAAGCTTATTACATGGTTGAATTTTATCTATGTTTTTTAGAGGCTTTAACCCCAACATACTGACCAAAGTGTTCCTATTTTGGGTAAGTAATAAAATGTACTTACAGTAGACCCTGAGACTTATGAACACTTTGGGAATGGAAATATTTGCAACTCTGAACGAAACGTTATGGCCGTTCTTTCAAAAGTTTACAGCTGAACATTGATTTATACAGCTTTGAAACTTTACTCTGCAGAAGCAAAATGCTGCTTTTAACTATCCTAATTTAAATGAAAGAAGCACAGAAACAGTTTCCTTACCTTGTCAAATCTTTTTTTAAACTTTCTCTTCATTTTTTTTAGTAGTTTATATTTAACACAGTACTGTACTATATTTCCTTTTTAAAAATTATTATTATTATTATTATTTATTATTTTGGTCTCTGCTGCTGCTTGATTGAGTACTTCCGGTTCCAAATGAGGTGTGTGGTTGACCAATCAGTTTGTAACTCTGGGGTTCATAACTCTGAGGTTATACTGTACTGTGAATATGAAAATTTGACCAAGTTTGACAATTATTCTCCCACTTGTTACTAGTAAGGAAATATGAAGCCAGCAGCAGCTAAGTAGAAATGATGTGACCTTTGTTTAATTTTTCTGCCCCTTCTGTGGAAGGGAAGCACCAGAGTGAAATTTACCAGAATAATGACAGTTCACTGCAGTTGCTGCTGAGGATCTGCTGTGGAGCAACAGAAGTAAATCAGTTCTGTCTTCATCTGTTCTAGGGTGGGAGGAATCAATAGAAAAATAATATTTTGTTTGCTTGTTTTTAGTTGGGGCATAGTCCTGGGTATCAGAGTGTGTGAATCAGTGCACAATAACACAAATGGAGCTAGTATGTTTCTTTTATCCAGTTTTCTATTCATATTATCACACTGCATTAATTTGAATGTTGTAATCAATCAGACTTCATATTTCTTGGAAACCATGTCTTTTCTGACATGTGTTTAAGTAAATGCAACATAATGGTAGAGAATGTATTTTTTTTTTGTGCACTGCATATAGCATTACATTTATACATGTTGCTGTTTCCATATGAAACTGGCTAAAGAAAAACATTCTCCCCTTACACTGTGTTCTCGCTGAATTTGTATTGAAACAAACAAAACATTACTAATTCTAGTTGGTATTATGCAGTTTTATTACATATAATTGATATAATATGTGCTAACATTACTTTTTCATTTCTGACTGCCAGGCAGGCTCTCAAAATAAAACTTATTGATAGCATGAGCGACTAAACCCTGTTTTTGACCTGACTTCAGCAACTAATCTTATTCCTTGTTTTTCTATCCTTATGGTACTTCCATCCCCCACAAATAATTAGTAACATTTGAATTCAATGAATAGTCAGGTTCTTGGAGGGAAGTTTGTTTTTCATCTAGTTAATTAATTTGGATAACTTGCAGAACCTAGAACTTGCCTTTACTGTTCTCTTTATTATACAAGCTTTTGTTGATTATTACAGTACTTGGGAAATAACATTAGCATCTGTACTATAGGAATAGTTCTTCACTTGGGAAAAAAGAGGGATGTTCCAACTGATCCTGCAAAAGCCAAGTACCAAATGATGCCTTTGTATGAGTTAGATTTCCTTGCACCTTTTCTCTGTAGAGGATGACTTAACTGTACAAATATTAAACCTCTCTTTCATTTCCATTATGGTAGCCATTAGGGGCCTACTGGTAATTAGTTATGTAGTCCTTTAGATCTGTAGTAGGTGAATACAAAACTCTACCAAATCAGAATGATTGCTCTTTACGAGGTGTAAATGAATAAACAAATGCAAACCAGTGGTAGGCTCCAAGTTTGTGGCGAACTACACCTCTACCCCGATATAACGTTGTCCTCGGGAGCCAAAAAAAATCTTACTGCGTTTATAGGTGAAACCGCGTTATATCGAACTTGCTTTGATCCGTCGGAGTATGAAGCCCTGCCCCCCCCGGAGCACTGCTTTACCGTGTTATATCCGAATTCATGTTATATCGGGTCGTGTTATATCGGGGTAGAGGTGTACTTATCTTCAGTAGAAATGTAACTTGTCCACAGTAAACTTTAAAGCTCCAAAAAAAAGAAGAACAGGAGTACTTGTGGCACCTTAGAGACTAACACCACAAGTACTCCTGTTCTTCTTTTTGCGGATACAGACTAACACGGCTGTTACTCTGAAACCTTTAAAGCTCCAGTAGCTTTGATATCCTTCAGTTTACTTTCTGTACTGAGGATGTATATCAGGGTAGACAATAGGCAGACTGGGGGCCAAATCCGGACCACCAGATGCTTTTGAATGAATGGTATAATATAATTATATGGCAACTAATCAAAGGTGTGAGGGAACCTTGCAAAAGAGACAAGGATCCTACCCTAAAGAGTTTGCGATCCAGAGTTTGAATGAATGATAGTGAGAGCAAATTAAAGGGGGAAATAGGATAGATTTGGATTGGGTCATATAAATTATATGATGTGGTGACACAGTGAGTTATGATTCAATTAGTAAATGAATATATTAATTTTATTCACCTCTTCTAGGCTTTGTGGCAGAAATTAGTTTAAGAAAGGATTTTGTATGAGGAAAAGATGGTTGCTTGGCAAACAGTCTTTGAATTGTACAGGAGTTAAAATTTGTCTTGGTCGGTTTCCAAAAGCTATATCCTGAAGGAAACTGGGTTACTAATACACTATAGAACCTTCAGCCTCTAGTTCAGTCTAAACTTCTAATAAAAGTAAGAAATCTTCTTTCTGTTTTTTTAGCAGTTGCTTGGGGCTACTCTTTCAAAAGTTTGATTTCTGTTTTATTTTGATAAATATTGTGTTACCGTGTGCATTTGTTGAGTGCTTAGAAAAATTAGAAGTGTAAAAATATGTAGAAAATTGGCCAATAGAGCTTGATGGGGTAAGGAAAACGTGGATTATGACCTGTGGTAAATATTGGTATTTTGGAATGGATCTCAAGATAACTTTTAAAGCCTTGATTTTATATGTATTATTCTCACTGCAGGTAAAACTGAGGATTCTACAATCCTGCACAGATGGTCTGAGTGATCAGAAGCTAATGAGAATATTGCTTATTTGGATCCTAAACTGCTGAAAGCTGACCAGATAATTAATGGAAGAGCCTTGGTAGTGAATTGCTATATATTAACTTTTTTGTAATTTTTTTTATTGTAGCTAAGCTTATTGAGTCTTTATTGCTTACTAAATTAGTTTCATACTTTTGTGTCAATTTTTATATCTGTATATAAATATATTTTAAAATATTGCTTATTTAGTTAGGTTTTCATTTTAAAATCTATGATTGTTATTGACTCTCAAAATAGTCCCTAAATTAGATTAATCACCACTCTTATTTCCTCCCCCCAAAACTATTTTCAGAAGAGTGGTTGCACTACATTTGGAAATTCAAATACAGTAAGAGCTACAAGAATGATTGAAGGTTTGAAAACCTACCTCACAGTGAGACACTAATGAAACTCAATAGATTTAGCTCGACAGTGAGGAGTTTAAGAGGTGACTTGATTATAGTCTGTAGATACCTACACTGGGAGAAGATTTCTGATAGTAGAGAGTTCTTTAATCTAGCAAAAGCATAACAAGATGAAATGACAGGGAGTGAAGCTAGACAAATTCAAACTTGAAATAAGGTGCAAATATTTTACAGAGCGTATATAACCATTGGAACAAATTATGTAGCGATTTGGGAGTGAGGGGGTGGGGGGCGATTCTCTATCACTTGAATTCTCTAAAAGGTGTGTGCTAGCTCAGCCAGGAATTTTGGATTTGATACCGGTGTCATGTAGGAAGTCAGACTAGATTCACAATACTCCCTTAAATCTTAAAATCTATGAATCACTATGTGATTTAAAAAGCAACAAAGAGTCCTGTGACACCTTATAGTATAACAGATGTATTGGAGCATAAGCTTTCGTGGGTGAATACCCACTTTGTCAGACGCATGCGAAAGGTAAGCTCCAATACATCTGTTAGTCTATAGGTGCCACAGGACTCTTTGTTGCTTTTTACAGATCCAGACTAACACGGCTACCCCTCTGATATGTGATTTAAGTGGACCACAAAATGGCAGATTTGGAGAGAAGAAAGGTGAGTAATAAGGGGAAAAGTGACCTCAATATCAGATAGTCTACAAAGCCATTTTGCAGGCTCTGTTTGTGCACACTGCACTGAAGAATGAGGGAATGGCTGTAGCACCAGAGACTTTCTCTCTCTATTCTAAGAATCCCCTCCTCAGAGGCAGGGCCTTTTCCAAGAAGACCTCATCCTCCCTTCAGAGTTATCCTGCTAAGGAGTTTATAAAGCACATCTCCTTTCAAATATCACTGAAAATGCTTGGAATCTATAGATTCACAAAAGCCTCCTCACTAAAATCTAGGTTAATATATAACTGAAATGGTTGTTGTGGAAGAATTTTCAGGAAAGAACTGCATTAAAATATTTCCTGTTACAGACCAGGAGGGTAAACACAAAATTCCACACACAAGAACATCTTCCTCTTTCTCTGATGATTCTTTCCAAAGGTATTAAAAAAAAAACTACAGTGAAATTTTCAGAAGAGGGAGTGTTAAACTCAGGTTTTATATCATGAAGACTGATTCTAATTTATTATCATTCAAGGGATTTCTTCCTCTTTTCCTGAAGACTGATTTGTGTTCTATATACTGTAGATTGTACAATGGGGCTGATTGAGATGACCTTATAATAGTTTGTTGACACAATCTTGGACATACTCATCTTTTGCTAAATGAGATTTCTCTATGTTAAAGTCATCACAGATAATGATTCTTGTGTCCCTTGAAAACATAGTGGTCTTGGAATGGCTACTTTGGAGAACAACGGATCAGTTAATTGAGCTTCCATAAATTATATTGGGTTTCAACTACAAGTTAGAAAATTTCTCATCAGCACTCATTTATACCAACTTCCTGACATTCTGTCACAGCTATCATCTTAAAAACCACCACCAACAACAACCCCCAGCCCCTGCCACACACACACTCTCTCTCTCTCTCTTAGATATAGAGCTGGACCGCTTAAGAACTTGTGACAAAAGTAGAAAATTCCTTTTGAAAGGACGGCTTAAATCAGCAGCCATTGGCATGAGGGCCATATCCTATATCATATAGTTACTGCAGGTACCTCCTTAACCTGGATCTTATGGTAGTGTTATTCTCAAAATGAAGCTAGAAAAGGAGACTATAAAACAATTGAAATCTCTCAAATCTGCTTGTTCTCCTTCATATGAAGCAACTTTCACGAAGTTTGCAAAGTGTTTTGAGATTCTTGTATAGAGTATGCTAGGTAAGTGCCAACATATAATTATAATTATAATGATTATTGCTTTCTTTGCCTCCGAGTATCTCTATTATGTAAAGCCAGGCCCAGTGAATGTGTAGTTTAGAGCTCTAAATACTGATTAAGCTCTTAAGGAAATTCCTGGAAAAAGCGTGGAAAGATTGTTCTTTTTGTGATTCCCTCAGAGATTCAAGTTACATTTGAAAATTCCAAACTATCACCGGCTGACAATCTATAGGCCATTTGCTGCTACAGACTCCAGGAAATAGTTCTCTAACTATTCCAGCTACAGGTCTTTCTTGGCTGTTTGGGGAAAATAGTCAATAATAATGCTTAACCAACTATACAGCATATTCTAACTTCAAAGTGCTTTACAAATATTAATCTTCACAACTCAACTTTAAAGTAAATTGTTCTATTTCTTTTTTACAGATGAAAGTACTAAGGCAGAAGGATTATGGTGTACATATTAAAAAGTGCATATACAAAAGTATGCTTGCATTTCTGTATGTGTTAAACCTACCTCCTGGGGGAATTCTGCACCACTGTGCAATGCAGGATTTGCACAAAATTAATGTTCTGCACAGAGTTTCATTTTTTCCCCAGAGAATTGGTGCTGAAGAGCTGCTGGTTGCTGCTAGGATGTGGGCGGGCTGCAGTTCTCAGGTTTGCTGGTCCTGCTCAGTGACATAGTGCAGCTGAGATCCTGTGGGGAGAGGCAAGAGCAAGGCACCGCTGCTTTCTGGGAAGAGAGAGACTGAGAGTAAGGGGAGCGTCTGCAGAGGTGGGGGCGTGACTCAAGTTGTTCCAGGGGCAGCTGAACCTTTAAATTATGCGCCCCTCCCCCCAACAGCAGATACGGGTCGTCTCTGCCTGGTAAGACAGTAATGAAGCTGTACAGAGCAAAGCCTGCGGCTGGGCTTTGGGGGGGAGAGGCGAAGCAAGCCCCGTGGCTAGGCTGTCAGGAGAGGGGATGTGGGTGTCTGGCCCTGCAGCTGGGCTCTGGGGGGGGAAAGGGGGTGTGGGTGATTGGCCTGGAGGGGTCCACGCAGCCCCCTCCAGCACCCCCCAAATGCCCCCTCCCAGTACACACACACCCCTCCAGCATCCCCAAATACCGTCTCCTAGTACTAGATTGCTAAAAACTTGTGAATATTTCATTGTTGCATAATTTTTTACATGGTTCCATTTTATGCAGACTGGAGGCAGCATGCTTGTGACCCTGAGAGGCCTTACTGGAAGTGCCTCCTGGGAAAGGGTTCACTGTCATATAACAGTGTGACCCAGAGCACCCCAGTATTCACACCCTACATGATATTGTTATAATCTTTGTATCAAATATGCCTTGTGAGATATCACTTGAAAACTAATAACTCATTGATCATTAATATTCTTGTTAATGTATGTATGCGTTGTGTATTAAGAGTTATGGCTATACATTGAAATTATAAGTAAAATGTGCTTAAACTAAAACTTATAACTAAAATGTGCTTAAAGGGATGTCATGGGGAGTTTGTGAACAAGTCTTTCCTAAACAAAGGAATGTGGGTTTACCTCAATTTACATATACGTAGAAAACAGGACCATCAAGACAGCACGGAGAGGAGATTTCAGGAAAAGGAACAATTTGCCTTTTAGCAAACATAAGCGGAGGGGTGGGAAACAGCATGGAGCTTACTTTACCATGAGAATCCATGTCACCTTCCTTACAGCTTGTATAAACTTTACTTTGAGGTTTAACCCTCATAAGAATGAATTTCAAAGGTTCATGAGAGTATAAAAAAAATACTCAGAAAACCCCAAGTTATCTCTTCCACCTAAGAAGACAAAAGGTACAGCACTTCTGGGCATCTGAAAGAGAACCTCACCAAGGTGGGGGTCAGCCACCATCTTGCTAGAAGACTGTGGATGAGAAAAACCATCTTGAACAAAGCCTGTACCTTAGTAAATTAAGGTTTAGACTTTAGGCGTGTGTTTTCACTTTTATTTGCTTGTAATCATTTCTAACTTCATCTCTCATACCTGAACTCACTTAAAAGCCTGTCTTCTTTTGTTAATAAACTTGATTTACTATTAAACTAAGCCAGTTCAAATAAATTTGAATTAAAGTGAATGTTAACTCCAGTTAATTAAAGTGGCAAGCTGGTGGGGTTTGTCCCTTTAAAGGAGAAAACGGATCTTATTACTCCTCTGAATGTTATAGGAGTGGGCTGGACACTACAGAGCACAGAGGTTTGGTAAGGTTGGGACTGGGGGCGTGTTGGGGTCATTTGCTTATGTTAACAGGTCTGGTAAAGATAAAAGTACGTCTCTGATAACTGCTGGCAGGTTTTTGGATTCAAAGTGGTTGAATCAGAACAGGGAGCCACAAGTAGCAGAAGCATCTTGGAGAACTCAAGGCTATAAAACAAGCAGTAACACAACCTCTCACTGGTCTGAATTGCAACTCAGAATGTGACAAACAGCAGCTTCTGTCAGGCCTGACAAACTCACTACACCTAATATGTTGCTCTTATGGTATGTATCTGTAAATAATATTGTGTAAGGTATCAGTTGAAAGCTTATATCATACCGGTCATCATAATCATTGTGTGATGTATGTATGGGTAACAATTAAAAAGTTGTATGTGTATACTGAGAATATGTTTTAACTAAACATACCAGGCAGGGTTGATAGACAAGGTTTTTCTTAGGCAAAGGAATGTTGGTTTACCTGTCTGTCTATGTTTCTGGGGTAAATTGAGCATGATAAAAGCCAACACAAAGCAAGCTTTGTTTGCATGCTAAGTCAACAGGAAAAGCCATTAAAGGTTTTTTGGATTATAAGAAGAAGGGGACCGAACTTCTGGGTTATCCATAACTGAGTTAACAAAGTAGTAAGAGCCTTCCGTATACATGATTGGTGGATCCCCAGCCATGTGGGCTAGTGACTTTGAGCTGTGGCTTTAGGTGAAAAACCACCTTAGACAAGACTGTAGCTGGTTAAGTTAAGTTATAGTCACTAGAAAGCAAGTTATACTTTCATTTTATTTGTAACAATTTGCTGTTTCTGTTCTCTTTGGTTAGTATTGCTTAAATCTTTATTCACTTTTAATAAACTTATTCTTGGTTTTACTATAAATTCATCTCAGTTCTGTAATATTAAAGTAAAGTGTGAATCCTCAGCTAAGCTAATAGGCTGGTGTGTGTACTGTCTCTTTGGAGACAGCAGATTTGGTAATTTCTGAGAGTGTCCACTGATGGGGGCTGAATACTGCAGTGGAAGGCTCTTTCACAAGGTTCAGGAACTGGGGTGCACCAAGTGTTACTTGTAAGGCAAAGTAAGGGCTGTTAATGTCCCAAAGAGTTTGTCTGACAGGCTAACCGACTAGGGTGACAGGGAATTATTAGTTTAGTACCAGCAAAACTCTCTTTTGCTAAGGCAGAGAACTAACAAGGTCACAGTTCTGGATGCCCTGAGAAAACGTCATATTGGTCTAGTAGTTATGGCAGATATGAGGTCAATTTTCTCTTCCTGACTCTGCAAGTCACTTGCTGCTATGACCTTGACAAATCACTTAACCTCTCCATGCCTAAATTCTCCAATATGAAAATAGGAATAATATACTTAATATTCTTTTTATAATGCTTTGAGATCCTTGGATGAATGTTTCTATGTAAGTGCAGGGTAGTAGTAATAGTAATTATGTCTGTACAGTCATCCACTTGGAAATATATTTTTGTGGCTTTGCTACTTCCACGTCCTATCTTTAAGGGGAGTACTGGTGTGAACATCATCTTCAGCCTATACCCTAGGAGATTGTTCCTGATTTGAAGAACATATTTAAAGCTCTCTCATAATGGAGAAAATATTACATATAAATAACATTTCAATTTTTATATATAAAATTAATATTTCACTCACAAACATGAATCACTTGATGTAATTGGCCTTGTTATTTACAGTTGAAAGTACATCATTCTGTATTGTAATTTAGTGGCCGTTTTTGTGAACAGAACTTCTATGTATGACATCACTGGCATTTAACTGGCTACTAATAAAAACATAAACATTGCTATTGGTAAGCCTATATTACAGGTTTCTGTACATTATATTTCATCATATAGCCTATCACAACTTTTGATAGTTCAGTACATTGCAAAAACATTGTATTGCATTACCTTAAAAAAACCAGTGTGTTAGCAGTACTTTAGGAATGCTGTAACATAATACATTTTAAGATTGCTAGGATAAGGAAAAAAATTAAGCAGAGGACCTGAAAGTAGGGTTTAAATAATTTATCAGATACCTACCAGCTAAAGGACTCTAGGTAGAGGTTGACGATTAAAATGAGGATGAAATGGAGATTCGTATGGTAAGATCCAGGGACAATGCTCTTATGAAAAGCGCAAAATGGGGAGGACACTGGTATTTCTACCATATCCTGTTTCCGGTTGTGGATTCTGTCTTTCATATCTGCTTCTCGCTATTAAGTATCTTACAAATGTGAAGCTTTTTGTTTCTCGCCTTCCCCACCCTTCAGAGCCTTCTGGCTGCTGAGGGAAAAGAGTTAGTGTGCTACTCTACCTGTGCCTTAGGCCTGGTCTACGGGAATAGCGTAGCTGAAGTCGACGTATCTTATTTCAACTTACCTCCCATCCTCACGGTGCAGGATCAATGGCCACAGCTCCCCCGTTGACTCCGCTACCGCCGCTCGCCCTGGTGGAGTTCCAAAGTCGATGGGAGCGCGTTCGGGGATCGATATATTGCGTCTAGATATATCTGCTTATTGGGTTCTTCTCCTCACTGAATAACTCAAGTACTTGCCTCTGCTGCTGCTCATACCTTTGCCAAGCTGTGGTTACATGATTTTTTTTTTAATATGTTGCTGCTTGGTAAAGCTGTGAATTATAGCAGAAGCACTCGACCTGTCTGACTGCAGTCTGCAAGTTAACACAGTATATCCGTTTACACTTGGTTCACTGCAACCAAGCCTAGATTTTTTTATTTTATTTTATTTTTTGCATATAAAACTGACTCATCAGGCCAAGTGGATGAATGAAGTTTTTCAAGCCTAAAATAAATTTTCTGTTGTTTAGCTATTTTGGTTTTTAAATTTATCATCGTTTAAATAGGTTTTTTTAAAATATTGTGACCTGTGGCAACTTGGATTGATGCAGTCAAACATGAAGGGCTGGAGTAAAGATTTTGAAGCAGAGTCCATTCCTATGGAATAAAACCAAAGACGGAAAGTGAAGTTGTAGCCGTATACTCTGGGTCTTTAGTACTAATTATAAATATGACTAATATATCTGTCATAGTTTCCATGTTTAAGTTGCTCATTTTGGTAAACTGCTTTAGCTACACTTTGAGAATAAGGTAAATAAGTACTTGTAGCTTCGTATTTATTGTTACATGGCTAAAGTGTGTAGAATCTCTGCTGTACAGCAGTCTGTTGTCAATCAGTTATATTTAAATATTTATTCTTGTTCAGACTCATCTTTCCTAAGCCATCATTGCTCCTTTGCAGGGTACTTACTGATTTTCAGAATAACTCCTGGAGCACATATAGCAATGTGCAGTAATTGGGAATAAGTAATTTAAAAAAGCAATATAAAATCCCAGTTCTTTTGTGTTCTACTCTTCACAAGTGGTAATATAGAAAAGGTATATTAAGTCAAATCTTTTGGGATTTATGTTCAATGGATAGTTTATTTGATGTTTGAATAAATGTTTGCCTCTGTGTGCCTTTGTTGATTATGATTTTCTTGCATATTATGAAAGCTTTTCTATAACTGCTGTTTTGCATTTTGTTTTAGGTACGCACAAGATTCATTTGTTAGCAGATCTGTATCTCTGTGTTGTTGCTTTTTTCATTTTGCATTTAAAAAGAAATAGTAGTGATCATCTAGGGAGATGTCTCTCTTGCTTACCTTTCGGGCTTCCAGTCTGTTAATATTAAATAACTTAAATGTTGGCATGTTTTCTCTAAAATTGCTTTTTCGTGTGCAATTCTCTTCCCCTCCCCTCCCCATTTTTGAGGAGGAAAATCAGTTTTTTCATATAATTGTTTAAGGTTCAAATGAAAATATAAGAAATCTCTTTTAATCCCTCTGATTTCTCAAATAAAGAATTAGTATAAACAGAAAAAAGTTAATATTTTTCAATACAGGTGTGATAAATCCACATTTTTGATATTTCCTGAAACACTAAATACCAAGCTTATATCTTGTTAGAAAACAGAATATTGAATTAATTTATTGAGGGGCTTCCCCTCCCCCACACTCTTCACTGTTATATCTGAGTATGATACAGAGGCCCACTGGGGCCAACTGCCAAAAGGATCACTGTTCTTCACAAGCAACTGCTGTCTCAGACCTGACAAACTCACTACATCTAATACACCACTTTCATAGTATTTTTCTGTAAATGTAGCATGTGAGGTCTTTACTGAAAGCTTGTGATCTATCAATACTCATAATCAGTGTGATATGAATGTATGGGAAATATGTAAGGAATAATGTAAGTATATTGAAAATTATGCTCTGATGATCTTGTAATGAAAGTGAGTCACCAGGGAATAATATGTGTTGGTGATGGCCCATTCAAGCAGGAGAAGGCTATCACCCTTCCCTGGCTAGCTGATTATGTAATGTATTACTCAGTTGTCTTTGCTCCAACTCATAAAAGCCAATGGAAAACCAACAAAGACAAACTATAAACTTTGAAACCACTTGGAAGTGAAAAGGAACAATGTGACAGTGAAGGGATTGCCCTATCTATGAATGAAGACAAAATATGGGTTGAGTATATCACAGGCTGGAGAAAGACACTCTGGGTCCATTGAGGAGTTACTGTGCTGAGTGTTGACACTTCTTGAAAGACTGGAACCAAGCTCCTTGGTGAGAGCAAGTGCTGAACTTTGGGGTGAGAATCTACTTTATTAAATAGTAAAGGTAACTATTAATAAATGTAGGCCCTCATTTGCATTTTATTGTTTTGTTTGTAATAATTTATTTCCATCACTCATATTTATTTCTATTTGAATCTCCATCTTGCTTCCCTTGTCAATTTATATAATACATTGTAGTGGAAAGGTCTGTCAACATCTGAATTGATAGACCTTTTATTAG